GCCGCGGGCGCGCGCGCGCGCGCGAGCCCCGGCGCGGCGCGGGCGCCAACCCCCCTCGTGGCTGCGGTCTCGTCGGGCAAGTGGCCTTGGGGGCAGCTGCCCCGTCCGTGGAGGAAAAGGAGGAAGAGGAGGAGGAGGAGGAGGAGGAGGAGGAGGGTGGGAGGAGGAAGGGGAGGAAGACGAGGAAGAGGAGGAGGAGGAGGGACCAGTGCAAGCCCAAGAGTCATCAGCGTTGTTGGAGTCAACTCTCTCTCCAAGCTCCCTCTTCACGGGTCCCTGCAAGGGTTCATTTCCACTTGGGAAGACGCCCCGTTGGGAGATAACCGTGTGAAAATCCTGGAGCGCGCCAAAGCACCTTAGAATCGAGGAGGAGGAGGAGGAGGAGGAAGAGGAGGAGGGAGGGACTCAGAGGAGAAGCATCTACCGATACCGCCACCCCTGCCTCGTCGCCACGACTGCATTCGACGATACAGTTCTTGTCAGAATGCGCCCCAGAGGATGTCTGGGGTGTAGCGGTATTGGTACCTTCTTGTCCCCCCCCTGGGGGAGGAAGAGGTCGAGCAGGAGGGAGCGAGGGTGGATGATGAGGAGGAGGAACAGGGCAGGGTGCTGAGGGTGCTGATGATGCGGCCAGATCCAGCTGGCCCTGCTGCCGAGGCGGTCGCCCCCACTGAGGGAGCCGAGAGCTGAGCCGATGCCCAGCCAGGATTTCGAGGGGCGCCCTGCGTGACGACGAGAGAACGCCAGGGCCCGAGAACCAGGAGACGCCAACCAGCCGAACGACCGCCTAACTGCGCCACCGCCCCCCGCGGCGAGGCGCGCAGCTGCTCAGATCACTATCACATCGCGAGGAGGCCTGAAGCGCCTACAGGAGGCGGCTCTTCCGGTAGGTGTCGGCGACCTCCTATGCCTCGAGGTAGTTGCAGAATACCTGGAAGAATGCCTCGGAGTCGTTCTTGATGCCGAGGCGCTCGCAAAGCGTCTGGAAGCGAACCCTGAGCTCGCTCCCGTCGCGCTCGACGCCCTCGAGGTACAGGTCGGCCAGCGCCTGGAACTCCTCGTCCGTGGTGGGGCAGACCTCATCCTCCTCCACCTGGGCAGAGCTGGCCCCCATGGGCTGAGGTAGGGGCGCACTGGTCTCCCTACCATCGTCGTCCTCCTTCTGGCTGTCCTCGTACTGCTTGACCTCATTCTGCTTGTCCTCTTGCTGCTTGTCGTCTGGCTGCTCGCCGGCCAGCTGCAGGGCCTGCACGTCTACCCTCCCGAAGCCTAGCAACTCTTCTATGCCAGAGACCCCCAAGTCTGAGCAGGCCACGCAGCATTCCTCGCCCTTCTCGGCCCACTCCTCGTCGTCGCCGTCGGCGATGTCGAACACCTCTGGCATCGCGAGCTGCGGGAAGCTCGGGATCGACGGCAAGCCCATGCCACTATCGCTATCGCTCGGCTTGGCACCACCTTCCCCAGGATTCGGCCTGAGGTCCTTCTGCCCCACGTCCGTGATAAACTGCACAGCATGCGATTGACGAACGTATACTCCACCTTCCCCGCCATCTGCGTGCACAGCTGCGCTACCATCATCCTCTTCTGACTGCCAGTCTTCGCCTAGTCCAGCTGCCACGCGACGCCATGCCGCGAACGTCCTGTCCAGGCTCTGGTAGTCCTCGGTGTCGGCCTGCACGTTCAGGCTGATGGGGTGTGGTGCTTGCTCCAGCGGTTCTTCTTCTTGGGCGGTTGCTTCTCCTCCTCCGTCTCCTCCTGCACGGGGCTCTCCTTCTCCGTCATCTCCTTCGGGTGGCACTCCGCCGAGGAGAGCACGAGATCGATCCCCCACTCCGACCATGCGTATGCCGCTGCTTCCTTTTGCAACCTGTCGAACTCCTCGTCCATGCACACTAGCCAGCGAGAGCGAAGCGCCGCGTCCAGCTCCCCCAGGGTCATGTAGGACGTGTCCGAGTGGACCTTCACCTCCTGCAGCTTCTGGAGCCTCTGCAGCTGCAGCGTGGTCTCGGGCGCCTTGTGGTTGCAATCCTTGTACATGCAACTCTCCCTGAAGCCGAAGTTCTTCGCTCCACAGCTTGGGCACTGCCATATCTTGATGTGCACCGCCTCCCCAGAGATCTCCTTCTTCTCCTCCTGGTGCTTGCCAGCCAGCTTGTTGGCCATGAAGCGCTCCCTGGCCAGGAACACCTGCAGTCTCTTCGCCTCGTAGGCCTTCACGTCCTCCGGCTGAAAAGCCCTTTGCCAGGGCACCCGACGGGCCCTCGGTGCCGGAGGCCTGGCCTTCGCTGGCGCCAGCGGCATGGTTTTCGCTGGCGAGGCCGTCGTCTCCTCGCGACGCGTCTGCTGGGCACGATTGCGACACCCCGCGAAATCCATCGCAGTCGAAGACCACGACGAGCTCTGACTGGCCTCCCGCCTCCACGTACTGCTGCTCGAGACAGCCGAGGATCTGGCCAATGCCGTCCTCGACGAAGAGTGAGCTCGCCACGTGGAGCCTCATGCCTCGATGGCCGCCATGGCCCCGCGCGGCAGGCGCCCCTCCGAAGTGCGCCGCGCGACCCCAGCTCCAAGCTGAGCGAAAGGGCTGGAGGAACAGGGCAGAGGAGGAGGAGGAGGAGGAGGAGGAGGAGGAGGGAGGAGGATGCAGCTACTCCGTGGAGGTGGAGCAGGGGAGAGACTTGGGGCAAGATGCGGGAGGGTGGGCGGGATGCTTGTTCGAGAATTGGGGTCGACGGTCTCAAGATTGACAAGTGAAATGCACCGCACGCATTCCGCAGCATTGTTTTGTTCGCTGAACGGAAGTCAGAAGGTATCCTTCCGCCGAGGCCAGGGTCACCAGCACCCCCTGCGGGCACGTTTCTGTTTCACATGTATTCGGCACCACAGTCTACCCCCAATGTCAAGGCATATCGCCTCAGATAACTCGGTTTCGCTCCCCCCCGCAATGCCTGGAAACAACTGCGGCGCACATGCGTTGGACGAAGACGATGCTTCCTCTAAGAACCCCGTGCAACACAAATACATTACGGGGCACATGCGTGCGCCGCCGCGCGCTCACGTAACAATCCTTCAATTGTGTTTGGCTCGTAACAGTGGCAAGGCATGGCTAGCCACAAAGTGACACAACCCATGTGAGTCTCAACAAAGCCACGGGCAGAATTCAACCCGCGCGCACTCGCTGGAATCTGTAGAACACCAGGAAGGTTGTGAGCCGTTCTGTCGAGCCAGACCGTGCGGGCCGCTTGCGCGCGCATGTCGAAACCATTCAACCACCATCGCGCGCCCACCAATCCCGTCAAATAAGACAATGCGGGCCACACGGGCACGCCTCCGTGCGCGCGCATCGAAGTCCGTCCAAAACCGTTGCTTGTTCAAAACAAGGTCAGCGCAGAGGTCTTCGAAAGCATACAAAATCCGACTTGTCTTGAATCAAACCATATCACGGTGTCTGGATTACTGCGGGCGAGCACATTCTCATCACCGTCATTATCGCCAGCGACATCATCGTCATCGTCATCGTCATCATCACTATCGTCGGGATCATCGTCATCGCCGTCATCGTTGAAACAATCGCCCTCGCCAACATTGTGTGGGCGGACACTTCCTCATCATCATCACCAGCACCGGCACCATCGTCATCATCGTCGCCCGCGTCATCGTTACCACCTTCATTCTCATCACCATCATCTGCATCCTTACCGTCGACGTCGGCATCGCATCGCCCCAATATCCACTGGAATAGGCATCGGCATCAGCGGCATCACCGCAGGCATCGCCAACGTCGTTGTCGTCGCTTTCATCACCATCGCCACCACAATTTTGCGACCTGGAGGACGGAATCGTCTGTGCGATTGAGTTCCCGGGCGCTCGTTGAGATCATGGCCATATCAGTTTTGCTAACAGGTTACGGGTGGGAGCGTGGGATGCTTGCACGAGCATGGGAGATCGTCACGCGCAGATGTTGTGCGGTGGGTGAATTCCGCGCTTTAGGTTGTACCTCGTGGATTGCGCCCCATACAGACCACCATAGACATTGCCCCACATGGATTCCATCATTGCGGGTGTAGCATATGCACTATATGGTACACTAACAAGCATGCGACACGAATTCCACCACAGGGCTTGCAGCACTTTGAAACATGTGCAGGTGCATATGCATGTACACATACATATGCATCTTCATTGGCATGTGCACATGCGCACACACATATCTATATATACATGTTTATGCATATGTATGTATTTGTGCGCTTATGGATGCATATGTATGCTGTATCTGGCGACCTGGTCCAGGACCCCAGACCAGGGACCCCGGTCCCGATGTCCTTGAGGTTTGGAGCCCTTCTGGAGCCCAGCGGGGCCATCTTGTAGGTCTGCGGAGTCGGCCGCAACGGTCAAACCCATTGAAACACATCAATGTTCGGAAACATAGGTTTGTCCCTTCAGTCGTTTCCGTCTCCACCGTGTCCAAGACGCCTCAAAGTACCTCCAAGATTACCCCGAGGACCTCGCTTGGGGTTCCTGGCGCCCGGGCGGGCTGCAGCATCGTCCCCCGTCGGTCCTGCACGCCCCCAGGCTGGCCTTCGGACACCAGAGTATCGATTTGTCAGTGTCGGGCCAGGTCCCGGGGATTTTTCCGGAGTATTCTTGGAGTTGTTTGGCGCCGTCCTGGAGGCTCAAAAGTCCTCCTTTTTTCTTCCCCCCCACACAGCCGTTCCCAGGCGCCCAAACTCCTTCCCACACGATTTGCATGATCCAAGAGTTCTCGATGAGGTGGCCTCAGCACCGCCGCATGCTCCCAGAAAACCTTGGGGCACCTCCCAGGGAGGACCCCAGAATAAAAGACAGGAGGCCTCCAAGAGGGCCCCTAGATATCCAGGAGGACCTGAAGAGGCCTGCATTTTCCGAGCAGCAGTGTTTTTGGTATGATGTAAGCATGCTTGTCTTTTCGGCCTGCAGCGTGTCCAAGACAGCACCCGAAGACGGTAAGACCGCTCAAAGTTGGCCCGACGATCCCCAAAAGGCCCATATGGGGGTTCCAAGATCCTTTTCAAAGCCCGCGCACCAACCATAGACGTCACGCCCCTTTCCGCAGGATGGGGCTAGGGATCCTTTCGGTGCGACCTTGGAGCGACGAAAAGTATTTGGAAGGCGGCCCATGGGCGACACAAGACGCGCAGCAAGACTTTAACTCGGGAGGGGGCCCAAGCCCGTAGAACGAGGGGCCACCTGTGGAATTAAGCTCAAAAGAAGGAGGGGGGCAGTTGGAGGACGAGGAGGCGACAGCGTAAGATGTGAAGGTGCAGTGGGCGCCTTGCCAGTGTACCTGTAACTCCTGGGTGTCCCGAGCATCTTAGATTGAATCACACATTCACAGAGTCTGGGGCTAAGAATTGTTAGAAATTGCTCGCGCGAAGAGCCCGCGTGGTTATGGCGTGTATGATAACTGTATACAGATATATTGATATACCTATGTCTGTATGTATTCACATACATGTGCATATCTACACATATATAGAGAAAGAGAGACAGAGAGGGACACACAAGAGACAGATATTCTAACCGTCGCCGCACTAATGCAGGGTCGGGAGTGCGCCCTCTTCGGGGTCTCTTGAGGCAGTTCTCAGGCCGTCTTGGGGGCCTCCTGGGCCAGCTTGGGGCCCTCTGGGGCCGTCTCGGCCTCTCAGGGCAATCTTGGGGGCCTCTTGGGGCTGTTCTGGGGGCCCAGTTGGACTGTCTTTGGGCCCTCTTGGGCTGTCTGCAGCCCCTCCAGGGGCCCTCTTAGACCGTCTTGGGCCCCTCGTAGGCCGTCCTGGGCTCTTCTTAGGGCCGTCGCCGTCTTGGGCACCTATGGGCCATCTTGGAGCGATCTCGAGGACCTCCGTGCGGCCGTATCGAGCGCTCTGGAGACCGAGAAGCCGAGTCTGCGAAAATTGAGCCTAAATCTCCAGAAATTCCATAACTGCTGCTTCCCAGGAGTCGTCTCCGGGCCCCCTTGGGCAATCTTCGGAGCCCGTCAGGCCGCCGAGTGGCCATCTTGGGCCATCTTGGGCCCATCGTGGCCGTCTGGAGGCGCTCGTCGGGCCCGCCTGAGGTCTCCTGTGGCCCTCCGGGGCCGCCTTGGGGCCATTTGGGGCGGTCTTGGGCCCCCCCTGGGCGCTCCAGAATCAGGCTCCCCGGACTGGCGGGGAGTTGTGTCGGGTCAGTTCTATATGAGGAAGCCGATTAAATTCGTGCAGCTAGAAAATGCATACACGTGCGCCTATCGCATAACTTAGATTGCACCACGCAGCCTGCACCCAACATCTTGCACATTGCAATACGTATGCTGTACTACATAGATATCACCACATAGCTTGATGACAAACCAACATCTATGGCAACCTATTTGTTGCACCGGTTGCAACCCATGTAAGATCCCGGGTCGAGGGTTCGTAGCCCCCCGCCCCCCCCCTCCCCAGATGGGATGTGTCCCAGGGTTCCACAGCCCCCCCTCCCCCCCAGATTTTATGGGGGGGCGATAACGACGACGACCACGACCGCGACCACCAGAGGTTAAGACTGTGGAGTTTGATTTCTGCGCCTTCGGCGCGGCTTGGGGCAAGAGAGCCCGCGTTATATATGCTCATCTCAATTTTGACTTGTTCAGCTCTTGCAAGTGTACAGGGCGTGGCCTTTGTTCTTTCACGCACCGTCCACGCCGAGCTCTTGAAGGCAAGACGCCTTCCGGAGTTTTCTGGACCAAAATGGCCAAATTGCCGAGCCATACCCGCCCAGCTTGTCCAGTGCCATTGCCAGAGCCGATCGTGAAGCCAGATTGTCATCCACGCACCAAGCCTTGGTGCGATTGGCGGCCTAGGGCCAGTTAGATCTTCGGAGAGATGCTTCGAGGTCGCTGTTGTTTGTCCTGGCCTCCCGCGTCTCTGCTTGACGCGGATGGATGGTGCACTCTGGCTGGACAACGTTTGCGAACAGACGCTGTCGAGATGCTGGCCTGGAAATAGAGCGGGGTCTAGGATATCCTATGCGTGCATGTCTTCCCTCATCCCGTCACGAGTACAGGCCGTCGATGTTAGATCGCTTCCGTTGGTTGTTGGGCTCAACCCTGCCCGCCCACCCTTGAGCCTTTAAAGAGATGCTCCGTCTGTCGCAGGAGGTCGCTGTTGTTTGTCCTGGCCTCCCGCGTCTCTGCTTGACGCGGATGGATGGTGCACTCTGGCTGGGCAACGTTTGCGAACAGACACTGTCGAGATGCTGGCCTGGAAATAGAGCGGGGTCTAGTATGTGTATATCATGCGGTACACGTGATATGTATTATGCGTTATAGTGTGCTACGCACATAGAACATACGTTTTCATGTACATACATATATATATATATACATAGCTGTGCACGTATAACAACATCGCATGCGTATGCACGTACGACATACGTCCCACATATGTACGATCTACGCGTCCGAGCATGAATATTACACCTAATGTATACATGTCAATACAA